TAATATGATGCCCTGCCGGCACTGCTTCCGGCCAGCCTTAACCTTGGTTCAGGGTCCACTCAATGTGGACATGCTAGTTCGAATTAGCAAAATGCTAATTTGAACTAGTTTTTAGGTCTAGATGCACTAGTTCGAATTAGCTTAGTTCGAATTAACTAATTCGAATTAAGTTAGTTCAAATTAGTGCTGTAGTGTAGACATACCCTAAGAAATCAGTGCTTCTTGCGGAAATATTATTCTGCTCCCATTCAGGCAAAAGTCCCTTTTGCGCAAAAGGGCAAGTGTAGACAGCTGAGATTTGTTTTCCGCAAAAAAGCCACAATCGCAAAAATGGCGATCGGGGCTTTTTTGCGGAAAAGCGCATCTAGATTGGCCAGGACGCTTTTCCGCAAAAAGTGCTTTTTCAGAAAAGTGTCCTGCCAATCTAGATGTGCTTTTCCAAAAATGCTTTTAACGGAAAACTTTTCTGTTAAAAGCATTTCTGAAAAATCATGCCAGTCTAGACGTAGCCCATATGTTTATCAGTCAATTAAAATTAACCATGGACAGTGTCGCTTCAGCGAAGACGGGTGGTCTATGTTTCAACTACTATTAGCCTGCCTCATATACTGAACTCCAAGTGAAATTATCAGAATTTGCCTCTGAAAGGAAAGAATTGGGTTTCTTTTCCTGAAAACAAGCAACCATTCAGTGGTGACAGAGGAAAGAAAAAAATGGACGCCACAGCCACACTGAAGTGCTTGCTTTTTACTCAGTGGACCAAAAAGTCCTTCATAATGCTTGTCTCTCTCACCATCCGAAATTAAAAGAAATGATTTCTCCCATCTGTTTCTTTGCGTGGGCCGGGGGTGGGAGAGTGGTAGATCCCTGGCTGATGCTTCAGTAATGGGGCTGGCTGTGGAGCACAGGAGTGTGCAGGATCGCCCCACAAAAAGGGAAGATAAAGTCAAACACCTAGGTGCAAATATAAGATGGGAATCGTCTCCCTATGCATGCAGCATTGGAGTCTCAGTAACCTTCTTTTTATTGAATCGAGGCAGTTTAGGTTGCAGCTGAGATCGGACCAATCAAGAAATGAAACTCATGTTGTGATGCAGCCTCTTGTTTTGAGTGGAAACGGCCATTTGTTTATATGGGTTAGGAAAATCCCAGCAAAGAGAATAGAAACAACTCCATGTTCCACAACTCAAGCAGCAAGTTCTGAACAGTGAACAATCCATGAGTCGTCACTACGAATGGTTTGGGGGAAACTCCTTTCACTGAAATTAGCTTTATAGCTACAGTTTGTCAAAGACTTTTGAGAAACACATTTTTAATAACTATGAGCTCCTTGTGGGTGATTTGCAAACAGAAAGCGGGCTGGATTCATTTAATCAGGTGTTTATAATGGTTAACATAACCAGCTATATAGTTAAGAGATTACTCCACTTTCTGCTTATAATAACCTGAGCCCTGCTAGCTTCTGCTGTCTGAATGGGATCCATTTTCCTAGCAGCACTTCTGCATTTGGACTATAGACCTACAGAAAGTTAGTCAGTATCAAATGGAGATGGTACAATAATTTCCTGGCAAAACGTGCTTCCTCTTAGCCTCCTCCCCCTTTTAGCACCCATCCCTACGTCACTGATGGTAGTTCCTATTACTAACTGACATCATGCCCAGTTTAGGATTGTGTTTTCCTTGGTGCTTTTAGGATTCTCCACATCCCAAGAAGTCTTCAGAGCTGGGTAAAGGTATTGTTACGTGGTGAGTGACTCTACTCCTCTCTAATCCCTTTGAGACGGACCTATCCAACTGCAAAGGACTTTGCAACTCCGTATTCCTAAAACAAATATGGAGCAGGCGCCCAGGGCAAACATAATGGATCCCCCAGCTCCTGAAGTAGATTCACAGCATTTTTATTCAATTGCTTTGAAGGTGCAATACCAAAAGTGCCTTTTTCTCTCACAGACACACCCTTTCCCCCAATCTGTGTCTCTTCTAATTGCAGTAGTTTTCCAACTGGTACAGGGAGCAGGTGTTGTGGCAGCATTGCTCAACAATTCCCCTCTTTGCTTGCTGGAATTCCTGTTGCTGGAATGGCAGTTCCACCTCATTCTGCAGATGACCATTCACTGCCAGGAAACAAACAAAAAAAACCCACACCTTATGGATACGTTTAGAATTACTGTTGGCTGTTATAGCTCGGCTGGAGCACCTCTTTCTCGTGACCAGTACTTGTGATCTAGAGCTGGTTGGAAAATAGGGACAAGCTGCATGTATTTTCCTTTGACTTGTAGCATCCAAAGGCCCTGTATTTAGGGTGACCAGATGTGCCACTTTTATCAGAACAATCCCAATATTAGGGGCTCGGTCTTGTGAGTTGGAGCAAACAACTGCACTGCCCACAGGATTGTGTACAGAGCCATCTCATCCATAGGGGCAGCCACCTCAGGCCCTGCACTTTTGGGGCAAGGGGGCCCCCCATGATGGCCACCCCAACCATCCTATGGACGGGAGGGACCAGGGGATTACGGAGGCCCGGTCAGGCAGCAGGGGTCACCTCCCTGCCCCCATACACACTCACCACATAGGCAGCAGGAGCCAGAGCAGCCCAGAAGCGAGCTCGGCCTACCCCGCTGCATGTGGCTTTTCAGCAGCAGCTGGAAGCAGGAAGCTCCAGTTCCTGCCGCCTGCATGGTGAGTGTGAATGGGGGGAGGAGGTGATCCCCGCTGCCTCTGCCTTGCCAGACCCCTGTAATCACCCAAGCCACATTGCTTGGGCAAGGAGATAAAGGAGTAGCGTGAGGGGAGGAGCAGAAGTGGGATATGGAGAGGGGCGGAGGAAGCTGCCCTGACCAAGAGCCTAGGGCACTAGAGGGAGTTGCCCTAGACCCTGTGCCCACTTTAGGACAGCCCTGATTGTGGATCTTGGATAGTCTCTCTTCTTTGGCTGCACATACCCTAGGACTGGAAAGGGTACACATTTATGTTTAGTGAAACATTTTGAAAAAGAAAAAAGGAATATTTTACAAAACATTTCAGCCAATTTTTCCAGATTTTTTGATTAACTGAATTTTTGGTCAATAGAAATATTTGGCTTTTTAATAGAAAACATGGAAAACTTCAAATGAAATGAAAACTTTTGCTTGGAATTAAAAAAAAACCCGAAAAACAAGCAATTGTACAACTACAAGAGTTGAGATGAAAAATTGTTGACCTTTTCTATTAGTGCATCGCATTCCCACCTGCTCTTTGTCTTTGTTTACAAGTTCTTTGGAGCTCTTGGTTTTATGTTTGAAAAGCACCTAGCACAAAGGGGCTTCCTGCTCAATTGAAATTTTCTAGCCAGTCCTTTTACTGTCAAAGAGAGTATCTTGAAAAGGAGCCCACTTACTCTGCACCTCAGTCAGAACAATGCTACAATGCCACTGGTGCCCAAGTGAGCTCCAGATTTCTGCACCATGGTGTTTTTACCTGGGGAGCCCCTCTTTGCCTTAGGCTATGTCTATCCCTAGGGAGAAAGTCAACTTAAGATACGTAACTCCAGCTACAAGAATAGCGTTGCTGGAATTGATGTACTGTACTTTACATTAAATTTCCGCAGCATCCCCATTGTAGGAGGTTGACAGGAGAAAGTCTCCCATTGACTTCCCTTACTCCTCGCGACCCTGTGGAGTACTGGGGCTGACAGAGGTGCTGTCAGTGGTCGATTTAGCAGGTCCTTACTAGACCTGCTAAAACAAACCCAGGACAATTGATCTCCAGAGCATTGCTCTCTTGAGAAGTAGAGTCAAGACCTTGGAATACATCCAAAGTCTTGGGCCACCATGCAGACAAGCCTTGCTCTTCCTTCAAAAGTTGTGCCAGCTGTCTGAGAAGAGCCTTGGTGTCTGTCTATCACTTCCATGTAGTCACGAGGCAGCATGAAGTGCTTCATGAGCCCATCAGGAGCTGGGAATGGCACTGTTCCTGGCTCCAGCTTTCCATGGGAGAAGACAAGTGTGAGCCTGCAGTGATAATTCCTACAGCCTGGCAGCATGTCGCTGTACTGCTTGATCAACCAGCCATCCTTTGCCTTTTAAAATAAGTGCTTCAGTTGAATGATGATTTCCCAGAATTTGTGCAGCGGCTACCACTGTGGGATCCAGATTTGTGCCTGGGATTTCTAGGCTCTCCCTCTGTACTAATCAATAATCAGCATCATTTCTATGAGGGAACTACTGAGACATGTTGTGCCCTAGTTTTCTCCCTTCCATCACTTGTCATACAGACATCCCCTTTTCTGATTGGCCACCCTCCGATGGAGAAACATCTTCTTGTTCTGTTTCAGCAATATCTTCCTACCTGCGTACACCTCACCTGTGAGTTCCTGTGTAAAGAGGAGTGGCTTACAAAGTAAAAGAGGCTCTAGCGAGCTGCAGGAGATGCAAGTGGGACTTCTGGAAAGAACTGACTTACCTAGGGGCTGCTCAAGGTCCCGTCGGGCTTTCGGAGAGTAGAAGAAGCCCCTTTCTCCACACACCAGGTAGAGGGCCTCCACTAGGTGTGAGCCACAAAGGTGCTGGTTGGCAGCAGCATGGCTGATAGGTGGGCCAGAAAGAGCAAGGAGGGCCAGGAGAGGCAGTGATCGGATCCAGAGAGCCATGGTGAAAGAGGTGAGACCTAAGAGAGCGGCAGAGAGAGGGAGAGGAGGAGAATGAGGCCGATAATGAGCTAGAGACAGGGAGGAGAGCGTTTAATATGAGGCTTGTGTCATCGTGCATCTTAAACTCTTGGCAAGAGATTCAATGCAAGATGATGGAAGGGCTCTGCTACCAGTCCATGAGAATTATGGGTGAGAGGGTGCTTTTATGTTTACCAGCAACAGGAAATATTTTGGTGCTTCCCACAAAAATAATATTTCAAAGCAGCATGTACCCAGGATGTATGGCTCATGTCTAATTTATCTGCCCCGGGGGCTCTTCTCCCAAGGAACTTGACAGGACCCTAAGTGCCTGAGTATGAAATAAGAGAGCTGCTCTTCTGTACATCAGCCACCGCTCACAGCCTCGGGAGGAGAATGCAAAGAGAGCTGAGGATCTCCCCAAATCCTGGGGCAGCAATCAGTCAGCATTCCTATCACCAGCGCTGAGGGGTTGTTCTCTAGGAGTTCTTAGAGCAGGGTGAGCCTTTTACGACCAGTAATGCTAGTCGCATGAGGCTAGCTATGGGATGGCTACTCCACACACCAGGACCGGGGCTCTAGTCTTTTGAACGGAATGCTGCAGACCCCTTCATTCGGTATGTTAATCCCAAGACGCACGCAAAAGGGTGACACAGGCCCACTCAAGCAACTTCTGCTTATCCACAGAGCAGGCACAACATGTGCCATAGCTGTGCCAGCTTCCATACCCATCCTACCAATGCATTCAGCCATGGCCTGGATAAGAAGGCAGCCCTCACCCAGTCATAAAAAACTAAGGGGGGCACTTTAAATTTTAGCTCAAATTTGCTTAAAGCCCTGTGGGTTTTTCTCCCTTCCAGCAGGTTACCCCAGCAATAAATACTTGAGAGGAAAGCACTCAAGATCGACTTTAATTGTTCAGTCTTGTCAGTCATCTCATCCCATATCTGGTGCCTCTCTGTGCTACAAACATCACAAAACCGCGATGGCTGCGGGCACTAGCTAGCACCCTTGTTTGCTGTCCTAGCAGAGAGACCACAAAGACTGAGCAGGTGTGGATGCTGCCGTTCTAGAAGCTAGTGTCCTAGAAGTAACATATTCATGCCCAACTTTGAGATTCTTTGCCAGGGGTGCGGGAAATTTTGATTCCTGTGTTGTGCTGAAACTGCAGAGAAGCGACCTCATCTGCCAGAGCTGTCAAGCCGATACTGTTCACTAGCACTACATTCTCCTAAGAAAAGGGCTTGGGAAAAAAGCACAGATAGAAGCTGAGAGGATAGCGAGGAAAATGGACTTACCTAATGAGGTGCAGCAGGACAAGGGAAGTCTGCTTGGAGAGGCAAGAGTGACTGCGCCATCCTCCTTCCCTGTATTTATATCCTTCACGTTTGTCCGAATAACACAGGAGTTATTCAGAACTCCACCTTCTCAGCATGCCCAAGCCAAAATTTTTGCTGCCTAGGCACATTAAGTCCCCAGTGCACAGTGTCAACAAAGTGTTTAGGAGGGCTAAGATAGAAGCAACAGTTTGCAGTTTCCATCTCATTTCACCTGCAAGCCTATGTTTGCTTGGCAGAAGCTCTGCCCTGAATGGTGGTAACCCTTTTAGCAGGAGATAATGCGGCTATTAAAGCGCTAACGATTACACTAATGCCGGGCAATAGGCACTGCTGGGATTGAGGAGGCTAAGTGGCTGCCAGTCTCAACAGCTGTTTCTGAAGTGTAAAATTAGAGAAGAGCAAACATGTTAATATGTTAGGTTAATTTCATCCCACTGAGTAACTGATGCTAGGCTGGAGCTGTTGATGAGATTGTGCTAGAGCCAGGTGTTAAGGAGGAAAGAAAACACTTCATTAGAAGGAAGGAAATCTGAGGCCAGGGATACTGCTTTAGGATTTGTCCTTTTCATATTTGTTCATTTTTTTTAATTGTATCCTTTGGTATATATGGTTGTGACTATTTTCTTCCACTATTTGATCTGAGGAAGTGGGTCTGGCCCACGAAAGCTCATCATCTAATAAACCATCTTGTTAGTCTTTAAAGTGCTACATTGTCCTGCATTTTGCTTCAGCTACCCCAGACTAACATGGCTACATTTCTACCACTGCCTTAGGTAAGTCTGTGTGGGGCAAAAAAGAAGCACTGAGATGAATACGCAGGTGTGTCTTATACAAGGACTGGCTGGAAAACAGCAAAAAACATGAGACCTCTGGAATAGCCAAGTGAGTGACCCACATTCAAGTCCCTACTCCATCTGAACACCCTACTCCAACTTGAACTTGGGTTTTCCATATCCCAGCTCTATTTATTAGCCAACAGGCTATTCAGTGATGGCGTGCTTGCTTACTCTCTCTCGTTTTGACTAGAAAGTGATTCTGGCCGTGGGAAAACTTCCCTGGTGAACATTTGTTTGAGATAGACATGTTTCCATGAAACCTTTTGGTTTCAATTCAACAGCATTCAATGGAGAAAAGATCTGTCAAAAAAAATCAAGCAGCTCTATTCTAGAGCTATATTAGGAAGAATGGCTTTATTGGTAGCACTCTCACCTGTAGACCGGAAGGCAGTGAGTCCCAGAATGGGACCTATGCTTGTATGTGACCTTTAGAATGTGTGATGAGGTAGGCGATGCTGTTGTATTCTTAGGGCTTCTCCACATTAGAGATTAGCTTTAAGTCTAGCTTACTTTTTCCCATTAACCCATCCCCCCTATCCAGACAGAAACCCCCTCAACTGTGGGTTGCTGGTAACAGTAGTCTGGGCAACTACCTTGCTTGGTGGCTTACAGCAGGCTGTTATTTTGCAGTGAAGTCACATTTTCTCATGCTAGCCTGAATCCAGGTTAAGTTAAGGCTGTAATGTAGACGTATCCTTCAAGATGGGCTATCTATGGGTATGTCTACACTACAAAGTTAATTCGAACTAACAGACGTTAGTTCGAATTAACTTTAATAGGCGCTACACTAGCACTCCGCTAGTTCGAATTTAAATCGAACTAGCGGAGCGCTTAGTTCGAACTAGGAAAACCTCATTTTACGAGGATTAAGCCTAGTTTGAACTAGCTAGTTCGAATTAAGGGGTGTGTAGCCCCTTAATTCGAACTAGTGGGAGGCTACCCCTCCCCAGGTTTCCCTGGTGGCCACTCTGGCCAACACCAGGGAAACTCTATGCCCCCCTCCCGGCCCTGGAC